TTTCGACGAAATATTATTTTCTTCAATTGCTTTATCTTCTGAACCGTCCAACCCTCTTTGTACTTGTTGTTCATGATCTTCAATATTTGTAACCTCAGAGGTAACATGATTAAATTAATTTATATACTTTTAAATATTATCTCATTTTTGGTCCTACATTAGTTTGCTTACGATGCATTTTTATGTACGAAAATATAGGGTGTAACAGTATTAGCCCTCTGGCTAGTTGTAATCTTTTTAATTGCAAGCATCTCTATATTATTAGCAAGCATAAGTCCTGACTCAAACTCTTATGACATAGCTCTATATAGCACGATTTGGATTTGAAAGAAGGGTAACAGACTCCAAAATGACTTGTAGCTTCCTGTTTATATAATGTGGTGCACAACACATCTATAAACAAGATTCTACTAGACACAACTTGTAGACTCCCTAGGACAGACCTCCTTTGATACCAAGTTTGTCACGCGCCAAACCAGGGGAGGCGAAACTGACACCCTGTGCCTCACTTGACCGAGCTTACCAACCTGAGATTGAGGGGCTTTGAACATACAATGTGGTACTTTGGCCGGCAAGGCCACAACGCAAGACAATTTGTGGAACAAAATATGAAACTGAGTGCAGATTAGCTCTAACTGAACATCTATATAAATCTGGGCCGGTAAGGCCGTCAAACTTAATATAGCTGACAAACCAAATATACATACAAAGCTTACAAGGCCAACATACTTTACTGACTGACAAGTTATGTCTATAAGCCTCTACTGATGGTTGTACTGTGGTTGGAACAGGGCCCTGGCCTACCCATATATATATATACACACACACACTCAAAACTCTAGACCCAGCAACTCCGAATGACATGGAGCTTAACGATCAAGCTGAACTCGGACAGCACCTACTGAGGAGGCCTACCCGTCTTTCTATCTGAACCTGCAAGCATAAAATGCAACGTCCACAAAAAAAGGAACATCAGTGCGAAATAACGTACCTAGTATGTAAGGCAATAGAATAATTGAAAGCTGAAACTTAACTGAAAATATAATAACTGAAAGTAACTAGGAATCAAAGACAATCTGAAGATACGCTTAACTGTTGATATTGACTCAACGCTCTCAATATAGTAAGTAATATAGTTTCCCGGCCCTATAAGGCTCAGTACGTGTAACTGCTCGGCCGTAGCAGGCTCGCTTATAAGCACTCGGCCATACTAAGCTCGGTACGTGTAACTGCTCAGCCATAGTAGGCTCGCTCATAGGTGCTCGGCCATACTAGTCTCGATATCTAAATCACTACTCGTCCATTTTGGACTCGCTCATAGGCGCTCGGCCACAGTAGGCTCGATATATAGCTTGCCATCTGATCAGAGGTTGCCCAATAGGGGCCTGCCCAACGATTATACTTGGTAGTGGTGAAAATACTATAATATTGTGTATATATATAGACCCTCTTCTCTCTAGACTGAAAGAAGGCAATACTTAACTGAATATAAAGTCCTGATAAGGGAGAATACTATAACTTATGAGACTAGGATAATGTACATGAATCCATGAGTACAAACTTCTCTTTAGGTCGCATTATCAAATGCATTTAGTTACGGGATCATGCCAAAAATGAAGGAAAGGTTTAGCCTTAATATATCTTTGCAATCATATCTCCAATCGTAAACCAAGCTCTACGATCTTCTTATGTATACAATGAGTAAAATGACTTCGTTGTCATCATATAAGCGTCGTAACTCTCATATTTCGACAACAACATTTTAAAAGAAAATGTATAGCACCTCGCTTTTTTATACTACATCCCATAAGTTATTAAAAGTCACCAAACAATCCAAACAAAAATAATAGAATTCACAATAAGCTTTCCGATTACTTCAACAACTATTTTGAGCGGCAAGCTCGATTTACGATTAACAAAATATAATTCAAACCCAATCCCTTTTCAATGAATCTGCCTACAACATTTATAACATCATACTTATGTTTACCATATTATTTTCCGCCCAAAACAACATAAGAATAATCTACAAAAACAGTCCACACACCTAGCACCTTAACCTTTATCGTCAATCTCTTATTTTTTATGTTTTCTTCTTCAATCAACTTATATAAATAAATAAAAAACTTAACCACAGCAGCCATAATATAATCAAATTATTTCTCATAATTTCCATCCACAAGAAACCATATACACACCCTCAAAACAGTCCAGCAAAAAGACAACAACACCCCATGCTATTTCAAGCACGAGCTTGTAGTTTTTCATTGAAATAACTCAACCAACACTTGAATAAACTTAAGAAAAAGAAAGGAGATAATATTCTTACCTTATACAGCTACTAAAACTCTAAATCCAAGCTCCTCTTAGCTCACAACAACCCTTAATGTCACCACAACACCATAGAAGTTTTATCCCACCTAAGCTAATCTTTAATGTTGATCTTGGATAAAAACACTTAGATTCGTTCTTGGATTTTCATGAACTTGTTAGGGAGGGTTTTGGGAGTATTTTGGGTCTGGAAATAGTGAATAATACCAATGAAAATGATCTATAGGCGTTTGATATATATCTGAATATTTTCACCGCCCTAAGTGGGCTCCATAGGGGTTGCTTGCACAATCTCGCGAAAATGCGATTACATATGTACTCTAATGTCGTATCGACGAACGGTTTAATGTGTTGAAAACTATACTCGTAAATATTCAATATGGTGGGTGGATCACCCCGTATATCCAAGTATATTGAGATAAGATCTCAGTGACATTAGACTCTAATTTCAGGAAGATTATGAACGTATCTTGCGACGACTTTTGTCGACTTTTGTCTTACAACTTATTTGATTTCAAAACTTAAAATACGAATATTATATGATGAAAGTACCTTAAAACATGACCTCCTTAGCATATCAAGTACTTCTAGTTTCACCCCGAAATTACGGGTTATAACATCTTTGATTCGTTTAGCCTCCAATCCTCATGATACTTTCGTAACACCTGTGTTAACTCATCATTATGTAAAGGTCCTTAAACTCTCCAGCTTATATTGATTTACTTAAGACGCATTCCGATATGAAAGTACGGGGTGTAACACGCATATTAGATCGCAAAATCTCCTTCAAATTTTCCCTAGTTGACCTGACCAATTCTGCGATGGATATGCGGTCCGCGAAACAGATATGCGGTTCCAATAACCCACATCGAAAAGGCCCTCAAACTTTGGTTTGCTTCTGCCCCAATCCGCAATGATTCTGCGGTCAACTAAACTGATTCGCGGTTCGCATAGCTGACCGCAAAATCGCCCTTTCATGCCAATACTTCTTCCCACTTATTCTACAACTTTCCGAACATATTAACTTGACTTTTGCACTATAAAACTTAAATTCTTGACGGACTTTTATGGGGCCTTACACTCAGCCAGCCAAACCTCATAGGTGCGGACTCCCTTCGCAAATACGATGTCCGAATCTACAGACCTCCCTCACAGAAGTGGCCCTGGCAGAAACAGCCAACCTTCGCAAAGGTGGCCACTGCCAACCAGCCTTCTCTTTCGCATTTGTGAAAGCGTTGCTCGTAGGTGCGACTTCGCACCTACCACCCCATCTCTGCATGTGTGATGCACCAGCACTAGATCTGCCAACTAATACTAAAATGGTCTGGAACCCATCCGAAATACATCTGATCCCCTTGGGACCCCGTCCAATCATACCAACAAGTCCTAATACCTCCCAAAACCTAACCAAAAGCTCAATACACCATAATTAACATCAAAATCAAGGATCAATGATCAAAACACAAGTTGAATTTCTCTTAATTTCATTAGTCCTCGGCAGGCGGGAACAAAAAGAGAAAGAAGGTAGAAAGGTTCAGTCCCAGTTGGTCTCGTCTATGAATTTTCTTTCCCTATCCTATTGTCGAGACGAATGTGGCCATACCCAGAGGACTATCACATCAGCAAGACGACTTTCTAGTCAGATCCTTCTTGTGCTTCGGATATGAAGAATTTGATCGATCGATTTAGGAAAGATGAAAAAACAAAGGCCCCCTCGTTCTCACTTCTCTTACTTTCGGTGCTTATCTTCAATTATAAGATGGTCACCCGCGCTAAGCAAGATCGGTTCAACAGGCCAATTCACGCATCTTTCGCAGAGTACCGGAAAAGCCCTATGAGCTAACTTTCCATTTGACGGCAAAGAGCAATCGAACCTGTGAAAGTCACATCTTTGACTTATATACACAGGCTTCGGAGAGGATTTTTTAATTAGATTCGATTTAGCAGTCCATACCAGGTAGATTTAGGAGTGACTGGCAGTGAATGCCCGGTAGCAAAGGTGCGAAGCAGACTCGGCTTAACTTCACTTGAGTTCGCTTTCCCCTGGAAATGATGGAATAAGCTAACTTCCAAACTTCAACGTCTGATTCAAACCTAACCGATTCGGATTACATCCAAACTTTGCACACAAGTTCCAAATGACAAAATGAACATATTCCAAGTCCAGGAACAACAATTCGACCTGATATTATCAAAATCAACTCCTGGTCAAAATAGGAACTCCCCAAACCTTCAAATTGCTAACTTTCGACAAATAGGAACACAACATCCTAAGTTCAAAAATATCATACGAACCTATTAGAACCATCAAATCACAAATCCGAGTTCATTTACAACAAAATCAAACTTTGATCAACTCTTACAACTTAAGACCAACTAAGTGTTCCAGTCACTCTTAAACCTTCTTAAAATAAAGTCAACCATCTCTTCAAGTCACCAAACATCAAATCATATACAAGGTATGTCAAATAGGGAAACGGGAATAAAATACACAAAATGACCGGTCGAATCGTTATAGAAGGTAGGGGAAAATCTATTATCTTTTGGGCACCTACTAGTCTTTGGGAGACGATAGGGTAGTCTATTATACATTGGGTAATGGGGGACTAACTTGTACTATATAAGAGTAGAAGGGGTCATTTTTGAAAGGGAGAAGACTTGCACACCATCAGATTTTTTAAGGGTCTCAAAACCTTAATTAAATTTTATCTCTCATCTCTCTCATTTGAGAGAACTAGCCACCCCCACGAGCTCCTCTACCGCCCGCCGGATCTGACGATGGCCGGCAGCCACGAACTTTTCTCCCCCTCATCTCTCTCTTTCCTACGTAGGGTGGACACTAACGCCGTCAGATTTCACTACTGGACGGCAATTGATACGCCACCATTGATGACCCTCATTGCCTTTGTCTTGTACCTTTATCTCATCTCCTTTTTCATTTTTTTTCTTTTCTTTCTCTTTTGCAAACGATACAGATCTAAGATTATTTCTTATATTCTTGTGCAAGTGTTTTGGCCGGAGAAGTGGTCGGAAAAGGTCAGATCTTGACGAAAAACTCCACCTCTGTTTGGCCATGTCATTTCTCGGTGACTCTGGCAATGAGCTAACGCTGTGTTACCCGGTCGTTCGCCTCTACTGCCCACTGCTACCGTTGAATTTTAGCCAAAAAAATTCATCCAGCGAAACAAATGTTGCTCTGGTGATTCCTTAGTGTCGTAGAAGCTTCCCAGGCTAACACTTTTGTGGTTTCTTCGTTACAATTTCGCTGCTTCGTTCTTGATGTCGTTGTCTTTGGTTCTATGCTGTTCCATTGATATTGCAATAGTGACTCAAAAATGCTCAATTACTATTTGTATTAGTTGAGGCAGAACTTCGCCGTTGTTGTTTGTTGCTGGACTGCATTTGAGATTCATGGCTTGAAAGCCGTCTCACTGTGTTGCTTTTGGTGGTTTCCAGCCACTGCGTTGATGGAAAATCTTGTTCAAATGATTTCCATTCAACTGACTGTGTTTGTGCCATTACTTTGACCAAAATAATATTTAGCTGACCTACTGTTTTGACTAACGATTAGCTTTAATACTTGTGGCTAAGCTTCTTCATTTGTCAAAATGTGTATATTTTGAGGCCTTGCGACATTAATTTATTGATACTGAACAGATACTACATCAGGCCTATGAAAATAATGAATGAATTATGGAGGCCACGCCCCTTCGATCCCGAAAATAAAAGAGGCGATGATAATACTCATCGAGAAAGGAAAAGAGGAGAAACACGACGAACTCATACTTTGGACGGTGACAAGGTTGGCCACTGTAGTTGCAACCAAGTCGATTCCCGTTCTCATATCTAGACTGAATCAAATATATAATCCGAGCCTCCCCAAAATATTGTAAACTATTTTCAAGTGCAAAATTGGCCAAATAATCTGCCAGTTTATTCCCCACATAGAATATGAGACACTATGATATTGCATCTGCCTCTAATATCTCCTCTATCCAGCCACATGGACCATGGTGGTTTTCAGTTTCCATCTGACACGTTCTTTAAGAAGAAGGAATCTATTTGTACAATAACATGAGTAAAGTTAGCATTGACATAAAACCTGATTGCCTGGAGTATAGGAACTGCCTCAGCTTTTGTATTTATATCATATCATATTTCCTTATCTTGTACATGAATTAGATCCCCGCAGCATCTTTAACACACAAAGCATATGAACTCCTGCCAGAATTGTCTTTTGAAGCTCCATCTATGTTGGCATTTCATCCATCCATATGGAGGTAATTCCCATAGTAATCTGGTGATCTTCCGTGTTGGAGTGAAATCTTCAAATAGCTTAATTATGAGGCAGTGCCTCCATTCTGGGATTCTCACAGCACCAATATCTTGATGAGCTCATACACTATTTTCCTTAAAGCATCAACTTCCAAGTCCACATAATAGAAAGATATTTTAAAAGGCAGTCGTTTCACCCACATAAACTTGTATGTATCATTAGGTTGCCCTTTATGTCTTATGTAATCCCAAGTTGACTTCACTATAAATTCTCCTTTGGATTCAAGCATCCATCGGGCTTATCATTCCCAGATCCCATCACAGGAGGCTTGACTTCTTCCACAACATGTTGTACAAGATCATCAGGCAAGTACTCATTTAATTTGTCCATATTTTATCTTCCTTCTTGTTCAAACTCATTAACAATTTGTATATCTTCAGTGCACTTGAAATCCGTAGGAGTTATAAAATAAAGAGGCCCTAATCCTGTCCAGTTATCAAACAAAAACTTTGATGAGCCCCCCTTTGGTTTGCCAACAGATCTGATGTTCAACCGTATCTCTACATTATAATTTTTTTTTCCAAGCTGAAGATCCATTCTTCCCCTGCACCATTACCGGATTCAGCTTCTTACAATACTTAATCTTTATACACTCACTCCACAAAGAGGGCTTTGTTCTGAAGTTCCACCACAACTTACTAAATAATACCTTAGACACATCAAACAATGATCTAAAGCCAACACCACTGCTATATTAAATCTTTCAAACATAGGTATATTTAAAGTAGGAACTTCTCTGTAGAAACATAAAGTCATAACGCATACTTAAAACCCAAACTTCTATTTGGTGAAGGTAAAGATTTAATTGTCAAATACTCTGCCCTGCAATCTCAAAGGGGAGTTGAAGACAATCCATCTTGAATTATGAAATCGGATTCTTCAATCTAGCATTTCTAGCTCTGTATTATCGAAATCTTGAATGAAACTATTTTCCTCACGTCACAGTTGATAGTAAAAATTTTGTTGTATCTGCATAATTCATGTAAAATAATTACATAGCTGAATTAATCAGTGATTCAAACTTACAATTCTTTCTTTTTACTACCTAGAATTTCCCATCACAGATAGCACTCCCTCTGCAAAAATTATACATCCAGATGACAATTTTACATTGTAAAAATTCCGATGTTATATACCTTGACTATGGAAGAACTATAAGAGCGGAATATGAGGGGATAAGTGCAGCAAAATCCACTGCTCCAACACTGCACAAAAGCCTTAATTAGTTTAGAAACCAAAACTTCTGTAAGCTAATGAAGCAAACTGAATCTCGTTTTAGAATCATCTGGTTATGGCGTTGAGGAGATCTATAGCAATTACAGTGGTGGAAGGACCACAATGACACTATTGAATATTAAACAAAGAGCAGTACTATACCGAAGAACTCAAGAGTGTGTTGGAACTAACCACAGAAAGCAATGGTCCCTGTTTAAACTTGTCATGAAATGAAAAAGCTATTGGCTTGGGGTCATCTCCAGGACCCCTAATGAACCCACTGGATATTGTATAAAAATAATTGTTAGAAACATTAAGGATAAAATTAAGTACATACACAATACAGTAAAACGTGAAGAGATTTATCTCCATCAGAACCACCACATATGTGAAACCAATAACTAATTAATAGTATAAATTTTAATAGACAAGCATGCATAAACAGAGAAAATTTTAACTTACACCAAAAACGCTGAAATCAGTGGACTTCTTCTAACATCAAATATTGCAATAAGACCCCTGTACAAGTCATCCCCATCTCGATAAGATAAGGCTAGACGCTCTCCTGAAGCATCCCATGCCATCTTATCAATTCCTTGACTGCATAAAGGAGAAAACTTCAGCGACAAATCATACATTAGATATAAAAATGGGCATCCTCCTTTTTACATATACAGTCAGTTTCTCCAACTAGTCCAAAGAGCAAACATACCCTTAGACTCATGTAAATGAGGTCTATTGGAACCAGCTTTTGCTTCGATAACCAAAGCATCTTAGTCCCAATCCATAAGCCAGTGATAAAATTTTCATTTCCATCCTTTCTATTTATATAAAGTTTAATCATTTTTAGCCTTACACTTCAACTGAAATGAAAACAAAATGAAAAAAGTGCTTGGAGACGGAAAAGGGAAAACTGATACATGTAGAATATCAAAGCAAAGAAGGAAAGAGTATATAAAGTTGAGACATGCAGAACAGAGAGTCACCCATAAGGACTAAACTTCCTTGTGGTCAAGTCCTTTAAGCTTTAGGAGTTGAAACTCAAAAACAAAGTATACAACTGGCAACAATTCTTTTCTGCCTAGTTGGACATGCAAATAATTCAATTAGAATATAGAAGAATGAATACCTTCTTGATGCTTTATATTTTGGATTATTTTTTTTATTTTTTTTTGAGAAAGTTTATATTAAGGTGGGAGTAGCCTCCGTGGAGGACAAGATGCGAGAACTGAGGCTGAGATGGTACGATCATGTGAAGAAGAGATGCATGAATGCCCCGATGAGAGGTGTGAGAGGCTGGCTATGGTGGGGGCTAAGAAGTATTGGGGAGAGCAGGGCGCGCTTCAGCTTACTAAGGACATGACCCTTGATAGGCGGGTGTGGAGGTCGAGAATTAGGGTAGAAGGTTAGTAGGGAAAAGTGCGGGCAAGGCAGGCTTGGAGTGGCTCACTACATTATTTAATGTCATTTTTAGAACGAAGAAGATGCCCGAAGAGTGGAGGTGGAGCACGATGGTTCCTGTATACAAGAACAAGGGTGATATCCAAAATTGCAATAACTATCGGGGTATCAAGCTGCTTAGCCATACTATGAAAGTCTGGGAGAGAGTGGTAGAGCTAAGGGTGAGGAGGAGTGTGTCTATTTCCGAGAACCAATTCGGGTTTATGTCGGGGCGTTCACCTATAGAAGCCATCCACCTTGTTAGGAGATTGATGGAGCAGTATAGGGAGAGAAAGAAGGACTTGCATATGGTGTTCATCGACTTAGAAAAGGCGTACGGTAAAGTTCCGAAAGAGATTTTATGGAGATGTTTGGAGGCTAAAGGTGTACATGTTGCCTACGTTAGGTTGATTAAAGACATGTATAATGGAGCAAAGACCCGAGTGAGGATGGTGGGTGGGGACTCGGGCCATTTTTCGGTTATGATGGGGTTGCATCAGGGGTCAGCACTCAGCCCTTTTTTGTTTGCTATGGCGATGGACGTACTGACGTGCCACATCCGGGGGAGGTGCCGTGGTGCATGCTATTTGCAGATGATATTGTATTGATTGACTAGACACGAGATGGTATGAACGCACAATTAGAGGTATGGAGACAGATCCTGGATTCCAAAAGGTTTCAAGTTGAGCAGGACCAAGACATAATACTTGGAGTGTAAGTTCAGTGGCGAGACTCAAGGAGGGGACGGGGAGGTAAGGCTGGACTCGCAGGTCATCCCGAGGAGAGGAAGTTTTAAGTACCTTGGGTCTATTATTCAGGGAGATGGGGAGATTGATGAAGATGTCACGCATCGTATTGGTGCGGGATGGATGAAATGGAGACTCACTTCCGGTGTTTTGTGTGATAAGAAGGTGCCACCGAAACTTAAAGGTAAGTTCTACAGAGTGGTGGTCAGACCAACGATGTTGTATGGGGTTGAGTGTTGGCCAGTCAAGATCGCTCATCTCCAGAAGATGAAGGTAGCAGAGATGAGGATGTTATGATGGATGTGCGGGCACACCAGGTTAGATAGGATCAGAAATGAGATTATTCACGACAAGGTGGGTGTGGCCCCTATTGAGGCGGGGAGCACGACTTAGGTGGTTTGGTCATGTGAGGAGGAGCACAGATGCCCCGGTGAGAAAGTGTGAGAGCTTGACATTGGAAGGCCTACGGAGAGGTAGAGGTAGGCCAAAGAAGAGGTGGGGAGAGGTGATTAGGCAAGACATGGCGCAACTTCAGCTGACCGAGGACATGACCCTTGATAGGAAGGTATGCAGGTCGAGGATTAGGGTAGTAGAGTAGGTAGTCTAGAGTGTTCATAACAATAATATTGGCACACAGTCTTGCTTTATGTTGGTAGTAGGTTTTATGACTAACCGTTGTTTTCTTTTATTGTTGAT